TGTCTACTACGAGTTTACGAGGAAATGGTTTACTATGCCCTTACGAGGAAAGTATACGTGGAGCTTACGAGGAAATCTTTTCCACGGCTTTACGAGGAAACCTTCCCTCGTAAATTAGCTAGGCCTTTACGAGGAAAATAGGCTTTACGATGAACGGCTTTCGACGAAACACGTTTCCTCGTTATTTCCTAGTAAAGGGTCATTTACTAGGAAATAACGAGGAAAACCCGTCCTAGTAAAGGACGTGTTTTCTTGTAGTGTATGGTGAAAAAGACACATCTCTCATTTTGTTAGAAAAATATATTAAAAATATATATTGAATGTTTAGAATAAAAATAATAATATAGAAGTTAATATTTAAAATATTTCCATAATTAATATAGTTAAAAAGGAAAATATGATTTGTCAAAATAGTTTAAAATTATTAAAAAATATTATAAATGAATATAAATTATGATAAAAATGATGCAATCTTTTGAATCTATTTTTTTAATATTACTAATATTTATATATATATATATATATATAGAAGAATGGTATAAAATATACATGCATTTTGCATACATATAACTTGCGGTATGTTTTATTTTTGTAAGACCATTTATCTCTTTTAAAATAGAAATAATTTATTCATTATTGTTATTACGAACACAATCCTTAAAAAAATAACATGCTTTAGAAAGAGATTTCTCATTATATGGGGGCTTGAGCATTTTGCTTATCAGTAGCTTTTAAAAACAAACGATGATTTTTTAAATACTTTCAATTTTTTTATTGACTAATCTACAATTCCCTGAATCTTTACTTGATTGAACACCTTTAATAAAATATTACACTCAAAAGACGTCATAGATGATGGAGATGAGTGGAGACATGCCTCCCCGAAGTGACAACGATGCCATTGTTAAATACCAAATAGATTTAGGTGACAACAAATGAGTGGTCACGGCAAGGGAATACAGTACAACGATGTCAAAATAGGAGGTCATAGTAGCGTGTAGCCATAAAACTATCTGTCGTTGAAAAAAGTTGAAAAAACGTGTTTAACCGCTGTGAGGAAAGAGCACAAAGAGATTATGGTTTTTCTTATGAGAACTTGATTGATCTAACCTATTAACGAATAATAAAGGAAAGGAGTACAGCCGATTCATGAGTTTATACCGGCCGGAAAGGAATCTGTGAGAAGATGCCTTTGAGAAAGTGTTATTCATGAAATTGCCTTGTGGCCGAGAAAGAAACAGTTTCTTTTTCGACTCAAAAAAATTATGATTTGATAAGGCAAATAATCTTGTACAAACCCACAATATATAGAGTTGAAAAAATACAAGCGAAAAAGATGCAATTTCCAAGTCAAAATTTTATATAATAAAGTTAGTTTTTTTTCTATAGGGCACAAAAAATACCATGTGTCACTTCATTAATATTTAAAAAATTATTTATTGAATTTCTTAAAAAACATATTATTTTAGAAAAAATTATATTATTGGTAAAATGCATATTTATTTTAGATTTTTATTGTTGTAGATTGCGTTTAAACTTTCGGATTATAGAAATCTTTTCATATTATAAGTTTGTTTGTCACCTTCGTTTGAGATCTCTAGATTAGCCGATGGAGGGTTTTAGATATCGAAATAAATTATCAACTCTTTGTAACATCTCGGCGCACCCTTGATTCACACCTTCTTTCCTCCTATTGGTAAAATGCAAATGATTAACCCACTCTGGATCATTAAAACCACCTTATCGCATTCTGGATCATTAAAACCACCTTATCGCATCCTGAAAATTACTATATAGAGGTGTGAGTATATATATCCCTTTTGTAAACATGTACAGCACAGCTTCAACGAGCATTAGAAGAAAAATTTGTTCAACTTTCCGATTGCTACAATGGTGATTTATTCCATCCTCCTTGCTGATTTGAAAGTCGGACGCTGCTCCAACACCACCGAGGTTCACTTGCTGAGGTTTTCGGAGACCTGAAATGTGAGGAAAGGCGAGCTCATGAGTCTAGACATGCTCCTCATCGACAAGAATATTAGCATCTCCTTTCTGATTAACGTTGTTGACGATTGGTTCCATTATGATTGTCTAAAAAAAATGTTCTTTTTAACAGTCGACAGCTATTCAAGGTTCTGTTGATGTGAATCGTCAATTCATATTCAGACAGCGTCTCAGCGAAAGGTCGGTCTACATGTTGAGCGGGTTCGATGTAACGCACAATAACCCCAATTTCCGGATGTTGGATGCCCCTTTCTCCATTCGGTTCAATAATGGAACTTCTTTAGTTAAGAAAAGAACATTTATTAGGCTCATACCTACTGAAGTTTTGAGATTCCTAACCTAGTTTGAAGTATAAATATGATATTACCGGAATCTTGGATTATACTTATAAGTATTAGGCATTGTGTGTTCATTACTAACTTTTAATTTGGGGAAATTAGTAGTTAACAAACACATTGAGATAAAACTTGATACCTAATTTTTAACAAGAAATTAATGAAAACCTATAGCCAAAAAAATACACAATTAAAATAAAGACTTCAATAACAATTGATAAAAAACATAAAAAAATATATAAAAGATAAAAAAATAATGAACAAACAATAGAAAAAAAAAATCTTATGATAAAAAGATATCAAAGATTATTGTATATCTAAATAAATGTTATAAAAGACAACTCGTATGTTATGAATTCCCTAAAATCTTCAAGCATAAATTTAATATGAACATGAAAATTAAAAACAGACTATTTGTAAAACACAAAAAGACACGTTTTTAAAATAACATAAAAATAATCATAAAAATCAAAATATATAATCTAAAATAAGACAACTGCACCAAAAAGCTATAGTTCCAAAATAAAAATAGTCTTAGTCTCACTAAAGTATATCAATAGTTTTATTATAAAATTAAGTTTTTGCAATGAGAGTAAGACCGAATATCAAAGCATTAAACAATTTTAATAGAAACTGATACAAATAGTAATTAAATAAAATAATTCATATATAATGATAATAAAATATTTCAAAATAAAAACAAGTGTTAAACAAAATATCTAATAGAAAACAAACTTACGCAAATCACGGGTCAACTACCAGAGAAAAAATTAATTATTTATAGAACAAATAAATTTAAATAACTAAAAATCTAAAAATAAATGTATAAAATAGAGAAATAAATGATTTATGTATTGAATTTAAATTGTTCATGAATATTTTTCTTATTTTTATAATAAAACATCACAACAACAAAAAAAAAATTACATTAATTAAAAAATCTACAAGCATGTGCTTTCTAACAAGAACAACAAAAACAAATATTGAAAATTAATTATTTTCAGTCACCAATAAATTTGTTAATATGATTAATTTAAAATATCATTTTTGTGATTTTGAATTTGCTCACCCGTCCGTAGGGTGGATGTTAGGCCCAAATTTGACCCAATAGGATCGATCCGCGTGAAGCCCGGCTCTCGACGGACACAAAGAAGAAATAGATGGGCCCGATCGCGAAGTCAAGGAAAGCAGGTCGAAAGGCCCATCACGAGATAGAAGACCGGAGATCGCGGAGATATTTGTGAAGGATCGGCCATTAAAAGAACTATAAAAAGGGAGCTAAAGAAAAGCACAACACACACGGAAAATCCTAAAGCTTACCACTACTCTAATTGACCTCATTTCTTAGTTTTTAGTTCGTTCATAGTTTCGATTTCTCTTTGTTATTCTCGATTTCGATTATTGTTTTGTATCAAACCTCATATCAATAACGTCCATTTTTGTCAACCGAATTATGATTGTATCGTTGTGCTCTAAGAGCATCGTTGGCTACACCATTTGTCTTCTCTAGATTTAACTATCAATCACTATAAAATACTTAGTGTAGATTTTAAGATCTACAGCAGGAACTTAACCCTAGTAGTAATAAAAGAAGAATATAATATCTGGTTTATGTAACACAGAGAACATAATATAATAGGATTGAAAAGACATAAACTAAAACGAAAATAGTTGTATTTACGAAAAGGTACCATAAACGGTTATGAGCAAAAAATGTATAATAAACCATCCTGAGAAAAATAGTTAATTTCACGTGGAGGCAGTTTACGAGTTTCTCTTTCATCTTGAGGCAGTTTCTTATACAGGGGCAGTTATTGTGTGAAAAGACTTAAACAATCCCTCCAGATCGTGTAACTAGCCATATAATGTTGGTACCCTTTTAGTTAGGTTTAGTTCATTTTTGTTTTGTTATTCAAAATTCAAAAAGCAATTTTTTTCCTCTGGTTGCGTACCCGAGACAGAAATATAAACTGCTTTATATTTCTTCTTCCTGTGTAACTATTGGGGGCTGTCTGGTTTCCTTCTTCCTAAAAACCGAGAAGAACAAAACTTTTTCATTTTTAAAATAGAACGGTGTGTGTTGTCGAGCACGAGGTGGAGAGCAAAATCGATTTCGGTGTTTCTAAGATCCAACAATGTCGGCTCGACGGAAACGGCGGGGGAAAGAAATTGCTGGAGGTAAGCGGTTCTTTGTTTTAAATATTTGCTTCAATTTTGGCTTGAGTGGTAAAATTTGTGTTCGGCTCTCTGTTCCAGGAGAAGGATCCGGCGATGGGGTGGACGCGAAGCTTCCGAAACGGCTTTTCGCTACGGACCGATTCCCAGATCGGAGGTTGAACTGCTACTTGACGATTGATTTGCTATTGTTTGTTAGAGATGTCTTGGAAGGGTCGGAAGAGTGGGATATGTTGCTTCACTCACCGTTTGGGAGACTTCTGGAACTACCTGCCCGACGGTGTTTGATGTCGGGAAAGCTTGGACATGCAATGCTGGTGAGGCAGGTGGTTACGAAGAAAAAATTCGAGTTATGGCCGGTGTTCGGTGGAAATCCTTTCAGATTTTCTTTGGCGGAGTTTGGCGCTGTTACAGGGCTACCCTATGGTGAGTTCGAAGATGGATACACACACTTGTACCAGCCCAAGCCAACGGAGAAGAACTATGAGTTTTGGGGTAAACTCATTAGAGAAGACCGGTCTCTGACAATAGGCGACCTGGTCAATATAGTTGCTGGCGATGTAGAGATGGATGGTTGGCGTAGGTTGAGGCTCTTCCTGATAATAATCGTGGATGGTGTTTTGGTGACTACTTCGCAGAATCCTAGACCGAGTTTGAAGTATGTGATGCTTGTGGAGAATCTGAGTAAGTTCTTTGCATTTCCTTGGGGGGGAGAGAGTCGTTTCTGTGGACTATAAGTACGATGAAGCCTGGACCTAAGATTCTTGATAAGGTTGAAGATCCTGTTGGGGAGTTCCAGAATCGTATGATGCAGGTGACAACGAAAATGGTGGGTTTCCCCCTAGCGCTACAGCTGGTGGCGTATGAGTGCATCCCCGGTTTGCTTGGTCGTTTATTTGGCGACGACAGTGTGAAGCTGAAGGACTACAGGAAGTCCATTTTACCAAAGCACTCTGGGTTGAACATTATTGACGTCCTTAATGCTGAGCATGATCCGGAGGTAAGGTCGATTCCCCAAAAAGATCTTTATCTTTTTGGCCATTGTGGCCTACTAGGTGTACACTATGTTTAAGTGTATGTTTTGCCAGTGTACAACCTTTTTATTAGGCCGTTAGTGTATAGTAAAACGGTAAGTGTGTAGTTGGACAGTGTTATCTTGATGTTTTATGGTGTTTCGGGTTCGTTTGGAATGATGAGTTAGTTTACAATAGAAGTATCAGGTTATGTGATGTACATAAGTACACCGTTTTTGTGTACATGTGGACATTGAGTGGTTGGGTGTACATGGTGTACACGTGGACACCGATACGTTTTTGTTGTGTACATGTGGACATAGTACATACTTGTGAATCATGCATTGAGGACGTGCGTGGGCTTTAACATAGTTCGAATGTGATATTGTTTTATTTCTTTGCATGCCCTTTTCTGTGTTTGCTAATTGGCCGTCTTATGGAAACTTGTTTTGGCTTTTGCAGCTGAAAGTTCAATCTATGCTTGAGCTGGCAACTCTTGGTGGGGAAGACTGGATACCTTTCAACGACAAGAGGATGGATCAGGAAGTTGCTTACATGGCTGGGGAGCTGCGAAAGGGAAGGGTATTCCGTAAGGCTGACTGGGGCGGAGGGGACATGCGTCTGGACTTTTATGTTCATGGTGGTGAGAAGAAGAAGAAGAGGAGGGTGAGTGAGAGTGCCGATGGTGCGGAGGGTGACGGAGAAGGGCCTTCCGTGAAACAGAGAGAAGATAGTCAAAAATATGACCGTGCTGAAAATCCCGTAAACATTGTTGTGGCTCGCTTGACTACGGAGGTTGAAGTGCTGAAGAAGGAGGTTGTTTCGTTAAAGAAGACTGTGAAGTTGCTTGTTCGGCGAGTTGGGCGCAGGCGGGGCAGGAGACGTGATTCGGTGAGGAAAAAGACTGCAGCTTCTCAACAAACGGATGGAATAGATGGCGATGGTTTTGTGGATTGTGGCGGTGATCAAGTTGGGGGAAGCAGAGAGCACACGGTCGACGGTGATGGGTTGGAGGAGATGCCTGAGGTGGGAGAGGAAACATGGGTTTCCCAAAGCGTGGCTGTTGACAGTTTTTCGTCGGACGAGGCACCACGGTTGTTAGTTAGGATGAGGGAAGGAGATGGACTCCCTTTGCAGTGGGTTGATGGTGGTAGGCCATGTTTGGACGGGAATGTTTTATATGACGGAACGACTAGCAACACCTACTTTGTTACGGATAGTGAGGTAGGTTTAGGTGGTGGGGGTCAGTTTGGCGTGTTAACCAATGTTAACCCACTGAGTTACGTTGATGGGTAGGGTGGTAGCTTTGATGGCGATGATAAAGGTGGTGGTAGTCCCGGTGACGGTTTAAATGGCGAGGTTATTTATTTTTTTTATGGTAGATGTATGGTTTGTGGCTGTTAGTTAAATTTTCCTTTGATAAATTTGTCTAACCAACGTGCAGGATGTTGAGAGAATGGGTGATTTGGTAGACCGGATCACGGGGATGTCTGAAGCAACGGTACATTTGTGTTTGTCCCCCCCTTCTTGGTTAATTTGTTGCCTTCGCCGAAGATTGATGTATGTTTGCAGGTTCCCAAGAGTGGACCTGACTTGAGCGGAGTTGGTGGCCAAACATACGTATATTTTGGGATTTTGCAGCTGCAACCATCGTCTGCTGTGGTGGACGGTGCTACGGATGCGGCTACACTGGCTGAGAGGCAGGTTAAATTTTTTTTTTTTTAAATGTACTGTTTATGAATGATGATGTCGAACCTTTGAACTTAGTATAACGGGGTTGGGTTTTTTTTTTTTGGCAGAGGATCGATAGTGATACTACGACGCGTCATGAGAGAAGCGATGTAGGAGTGTCGAGAGTTCGGGGGGAGGATGAGAGGGAGTCTGGACCTACGGGAGATCATGTATGAGTCTGCTGGACACTTGACTTGTTGTACATATGTACACTAAATATGTTATTGTGTACAGCTGTACACGATAGCCGTGATATCCCTTTGGGTGATTGGTGTAGCTAAATTGACGGGTTTTTTTTTTTTGGTAGAGGACCGATAGTGATACTATGAGACCGAAGGAGACAAGCGTTTTAGGAGTGTCAAAAGTTGGTGGAGAGGATGAGAGGGAGGCTGAAGCTACGGGCGAACATGTATGAGTTCACTGGACACTCTCTATGTTGTACACATGTACACTGATATGTTTTTGTGTACACATGTACACAGTAGTTTGGTTGCACGGAACTAACAGACGAATGTGTTGTAGGTTACCATGCACGAACCTGTAAGTTGCTTGGGAACCAGCGATGAAAGCGAAAAGGATCCGGTTCAGGTATATGGACGTAGTTGTGTTAAGTTAGTTGGTTTTAAAATTTAGTGTCCATGAGACATTTTTTTTAATGGGAGTGATATTCCGCAGACCGAGGATGGTGTGATACCGAAGGAGACAAGCGTTTTAGGAGTGTCAAAAGTTGGTGGAGAGGATGAGATGGAGGATGAAGCTACGGGAGATCATGTATGAGTTTGCTGGACACTCTCTATATTGTACACGTGTACACTGATATGTTTTCGTGTGCACATGTGCGCAGTAGTTTGGTTGCACGAAATTAACAGACGAATGTGTTGTAGGTTACCATGAGCGAACCTGTAAGTAGCTTGGGAACCTGCGATGAAAGCGAAAAGGATCCGGTTCAGGTATATGGACGTAGTTGTGTTAAGTTAGTTCGTTTTAAAATTTATTGTCCATAAGACATTTTTTTTAATGGGAGTGATATTTCGCAGACCGAGGATGGTGTGATACCGAAGGAAATAAGCATTTTAGGAGTGTCAAAAGTTGGTGGAGAGGATGAGAGGGAGGCTGAAGCTACGGGAGATCATGTATGAGTTTGCTGGACACTCTCTGTATTGTACACATGTACACTGATATGTTTTAGTGTACACATGCACGCAGTAGTTTGGTTGCACGGAAATTAACAGACGAGTGTGTTGTAGGTTACCGTGAGCGAACCTGTAAGTTGCTTGGGAACCTACGATGAAAGCGAAAAGGACACGGTTCAGGTATATGGACGTAGTTGTGTTAAGTTAGTTCGTTTTAAAATTTATTGTCCATAAGACATTTTTTTTTAATGGGAGTGATATTTCGCAGATCGAGGATGGTGTGGGGAGAATTGAATTGGTTACAGCCGAGTCAGCGGATGAGGCGTCTCAGGTATTTAAAGTGGACACTAGGTGGTGTCCCCGTGGACAGCAGATTGCGGTTACATTGTGTACCCAGGCATTCTACCTCACGTGTACATTGCGTTGATATTTAATTGAAGAGTTTTTTCTTGACAGGTTGTTTTGTCAGACGAAGGAGTTAGTGATGAGGCCACTGTCAATGTTGGGTCGAGTGTGTGGATCGCGCCACGCAGACCGGCGGAACAAGAAGCGAACTTGGCGGCATTGTTTCTGACTAAAGATCCTTACGTAGTGCCCGAAATTGTTCCTTTGGTTGAGGACTGTGATTACCCGACGTTCATGAATGTTTTGGAGTCCACTCAGGAAGCGTGAGTGTTTTCGTCACCTTGTTTTTGTGTTTGCATGTAAGAGTAATTGCTGGGAATATTTTGTTTGGTTGCGGACAGGACGCATGCAAAGGCCGGAGGCAAACATGATCTTAACAATAAGTTCTTCATTGAACTAGCAACCTCGCAGAAGATGTTGTCTGGAACGGTAAAATTGCATGCAGCTCTATTTGTTTGCATTCCATTAATTTTATTTTTCAGACAAGTCTAACCAATTTTTGTTTTGGGATGAATGCTTCTGTTAACAGCATATGGAGGTGTTGATAAAGTTTATTGAGGAGAGACATGGAGGGCATGTTTTGATGAATCAGGGTATGTTCGTTCCACCATGGTTTGCTGGTCATTTGCAAGGGAGAGCGAGGTCATTTAGAGCAGCAAATGATAAAACTTTTATTGTTGTGGATGCAAGGGTAACGAAATATCTGACCAAGAAGGATATGACATGGGGTGTGGAAGTGGACAGGCTTTATACGCCAATGGAGTGGGGTGGTAGTCATTTGGGTAGGATTGTGCATTAGCCTATCGGAGTGGAGAGTTCTGGTGTTTGACCCAAACCCCGGTTTGAATTCTGAGGAACATGTTGCAGAGTTGTTGGCCGATATGTCCAGGATGCTTCCATACATTGCGAGGAAAGTGAGTCCCACTATTGATGCCGGTTTGCATGAGCTTGCTCTGTTCTTGATTGAGAGGGTTAAAGGTGTTTACGAGAACACCCGAGGTGGAGATTGTGTGCCCTTGGTTGCCAAACTCATGGAGATGCATGCTAATGGTATGGATGTTAGAAACTCAGTCTTGAATGATGAGGTTGTAGACATCTTCAGGAAGCAGTATGCAATGGATCTGTACAAGGGGTGGGTGGTGCCTTTGTACGTTTGATGGTGTTTCCCATCGTCTAATTCATGTGTTTTTTTCTTCGAAGGAAGTTGTGCACTGAATCTGGTTCACTAAAATCTTTTTTTGTTGTTTTTGGAAATGTGGAGATGTTAAGGTTTGGGTGTATTTTGTTAAGTTATGGCTTAATGTGTATAAACGATGTAGGGGAAAAACTGAATGGTTGAATATGTTGTGGTTTTTTTTCTAGTGTACATTACCTCCTGGAATGTTAGTGTTAAACTTCTTCGTGTGAACATAAAAATGTGGAGAACCGAGACATAGGGACAACTTTAAACATGTTAATAACGCTCTATCTTCAAATGTGGAAATTTTAGTGTACACTACGAAGGGGAGTGTACATAATTGTAAATGAACACTACCATCGTGAGAACTCCCCTTACCTATCGTGTACACAGAAAAGTATGTTGGTGTACACGTGGATATTGGTCGGTGGTGTACACATAGTTTCACATGATTACAAAGGGTGTGTACTCGTTTGGGAATGCTTGTGTCCATGATTACAAAGGGTAGGTACACGATAGGTAAGCGTAGTTTTACCGATGGGAACAATGTGTACCGGTTTTGCGATGATAGATTTTGATATGTGGTTCACACAGTAAAGTTGTTGGTGTATACGTGGATGCGAGGTGGTGTACATGTTATTAAGGGTAGTGTAGAAGAGTAGTGTACACTCTTGACAGCAGTGTACATATTGTTAGGGTTGTGTACAAGAGTAGTGTACACTCTTGATAGTAGTGTATACTCTTGACATTGAGAGTATGTACGCCGATACGTAGTGTACACTCTTGACAGTAGTGTAAAAGGGAGTGTGCAAGATTGGTAGTGTACATTAGTCGGTGGTGTACACAGGAAAGTTTGATGGCGTAGACATGGATGGGAGGATGTGTACACGATTGACAAGGGGGAGTGTGCAATATTGGTAGCGGAATTTTGTTAAATGTACAATATGGATTCATATGCTAAGATATCATGTTAGTGTATGATGGTGTACACCTTGAAAGTGTACACTGTTACATGTATTAATATGCTTAGGGAGTAGGTTTTGATGGTGCACACCAATTAAAGTGTACACCATCGCATGGTTTGGAGTGTGTACACATCAAAGTTCTTTGGTGTAGTGGTTTTTGAGTGGTATTGTACGTGTATGAGTGGTGTACACTTTGATTGTGTATGAGTGGTGTACACTATGATTGTGTACACCATCAAACCCTACTCCCTAAGCATTTTAATCCATGTAACAACATGTAGACTAATTTTAAAGAAACACATGAAGGGTATGTGCCCTATAAAAAAGACCTTAGAATGTACACATTAAATAGTGTACAGAATGACATGGTGTTTATCCGCGTACACATTAGATAGTGTACAAAAACACATAGTGTGTTTGGTAGAATGATTGTACATACTAACTTCCACATGGAGAAAAACCCACATTAATCGGTGAATACACTTGTGTTCTGGCGTGTACACCACTGTTGTTGTATCCACATTGATACATACGACATAGATCGGTGTACGGGGATGAGTGTAGTAGTTGATGAGTGGTATTGTACGTGGATGAGTGGTGTACGTGAATAAAGCAATAAATGTGTACACATTGCACAACATGTAGAGTAATTTTAGAGCCACCCATGAAGTGTGTGTGCCCTATAAAAAGATCTTATAGTGTACGCATTAGATAGTGTACAGAACCACATAGTGTCTGTAATAACCCTCACGAGCCAGTTAATTTTTTGTCGAGAAAAACTTCCCTCGACCAGATCGAAGTTGGTTCGATCAGAATTAAAATAAAATCGACCCGGTGAATTAATATCTCGACGGGACTGTCTTGTGGTTGAAAGACCTTCCCTTGATATTTTTGGTCGAGTGTTAACTACTATGGTCGAGTTTTATTTATGGTGGATGAGTCAAGAGCAGGATAGGAATTAATGGAAGAGAAATAATTAGTCGAAAACTGTTCCGGAATATCGACCAGCCTTCTAGTTGCCTTGCTGACCCGTCATGCCTTGCACCTTCTAGCCTGCTTTCTTGTTAATTAAACAAGCCACATGACCTGCACCAGCCAGTCTGCTTGCTTTCTGTCTCAGCCTAATAAAACGAAAATCATGTGGCTGGGGAGAAGCTTTCTTCATGGGAGGGAAAGGACAGCAGTTTCTGCTGAGAGTAATGAAGCAGCTTTCCACCTGTCCAGTCCTTGCTTTGTCTTATCCTGAATAAAACTCTGATGTGAAGTAACCTCCTATGTTACAAAACACCATATTCTCTCTTCTGGTCGTGCATAACCTGCAAGAGAACCAAGAGAAAGACTGTGAGAAAGTGAAAGAAAAATCAGAGAAAGAAAGAGTGAAAAATCAGATGAAAAATCAAGGAAAAATTAGCTACAATCTTGGATGAATTTCTTCCATCCTCTGGCTTATTTCCTTGCTGTGTAGAAGATCAGAAGGTGAAGTATCCAGAGAAACCCCTTAACATTATTATGTTTTTGTGATGAACAGATTTTGATTTCTGTCCTTAAAACAGTCCAGCTATGATTTCAGTTTGATGAGGAGGATCATCTGAGTTCATGTCCATCTGTTGTTGTGGTGAGCTTCAGTTTCTTGCTTCAGTCATCCCCTTCTCAGAACCAGATGTTAACTAGTTAAGCTTGTGTCATGGATCAACTGTTTAAGCCTTTGTACGGTTCAGTTTAATTTAGTTTTGAATTAAATCAGCAAGATTTAGTTTTGAATTAAATCAGCTTGCTGGAATAATCAGCTCATCTGTTATGAACTGATTGGATTTAATATAAACTGAACTTATCATGTCCTTAATAACACCTGAACTGAACTGATAAACCTTGTCCTTAACCAAGCTGTTATGACCTGATTAAATTTCTTCTTCAGAACCAAACAGTTGTTGATGGATGATCATGTTTCCGAACTGCTTTGTTTCAGGCCAGTAGTCGAGTAAAGTTTGAAGGATATCATACCTTGTGCTCATTCTGTTTTGGGAAGTGATCAGCAAGTAGTGAACGTTTAGCTTGAACTCGTGTCTAGTATTGCTTAGCCAATCTCATGGATTTAAAGGTGAGTCTAGATAGATGAATGATGATTTATGAAAGAGTGTTGCTTATTTAATTACTGAATATGATTGATTAATTAGCAAAGTATCTTAACCTATAATTATGGTGAGGTGTTTACTTATGTAAACACTTAAGTATAATAATGAAATATTATATGAGGTTTAGCCTGAGCCTTAGTACTTGTTCTCAAGTACTAATATATAAGTATATAATTAAGTATATGAGTAAGAATCATGTGAGGTCTTATCACATTCACTCTCCCGAAAGTCCCGCATTACCGTGAATTGTTCCTGCGATATGGAAAAGGGTCACGAAGACACGATGATGGGGTCGCATCCTGGAGGCCGTGTAACTGCATGCAGCGTTAGATATTCGATCTTAGAATATCTGATGGAGAATATAGTTATATTTATTTTCCCTCTAGGCTCGGTTAGCCTTTGTGGTTCTCCGGGTTTAGTATATATATATTATATGTATGAGTGAATGGCGGGTGATACAGGAGTGATGTTTAAGATTATATTCACATTGATCGAATGAAATGTTATATAAATATAGTTATGGAATATATTTCCACTGCATTCAAATGTTGTTGATTGCTCGGGATATGTATTGGGGTATGGGATTAGACTCACTGAGTAAACTAGTTACTCATGACTCATTTGTGATGCAGATAACCAGTAGGCGGGAGGCCTTTACTATAGGACGGGAATGAATGGCTTCAGCCAGCAGTAGATTTATTATCCTTGCAAAGTCGTTTCATATATCTTATGTATAATGTTTGTTAACCGAAAACCTCAAGGTTAATACTTAATGTTTTGTAAGATGCTTTTGAAAGAATATTATATAATGTATAAAGAATGTTTCTTTAAGTATGGGTTCCATATGATATTAGTCCTTGTCCGGACGAATCAACTATTGGGTATTACTCGGTCGGGTTGCAAAGCCTTGGGTTGTACCTAATAGGATATGTGTACTTAGGCAATTGGCTTAAGGTACTTGGATTTATTCCTGGAACTTTGAGTTAATCGTTTATGTGCACATTGTGGCTTCTTTGGTTTGGTTTAAGTTACTAGTGATTGGCTGTGCATGTTCTTGTTTGATTGTAGAAGACTCTAGTCTCATTGCATCCACATGGACTAAAACCCACATTGGATCGATGAATACACTTGTGTTTAGGCGTGTGCACCGCTGTTGTTGTATCCACATGGACCCATACGACATAGATCGGTGTACACATTGCACAACATGTAGACTAATTTTAAAGCCACCCATTAAAGGTCTGTGCCCTATAAGTAGACCTTAGAGTGTACACATTAGATAGTGTACAGAACCACATAGTGTGTAGACGCATAGTGAGAAAAACCCACATGAACCGGTGTATAAACTTGTGGTCTGGCGTATACACCACTGTTGTATCTACATGGACACATATGACATATATCGGTGTACGGGGATGAGTGTAGTAGTTGATGAGTGGGTGTGTGCCCTGTAAAAAGACGTTATAGTGTACGCATTAGATAGTGTACAGAACCACATAGTGTCTAGACATGGACACAGTAGATAGTGTACAGAACCACATAGTGTGTTTGACAGAATGATTGTACATACTAACTTCCAGTTTAATGACGAGTAACTGCGATGAATATGTTTTTTGTTATGCAAGAGATGTAAATGCGTTTTGTGTGTACACACATTGTTATCCCCTCCAAAAAGACTGTACTCTTATTGTACGTGGATGAGTTGTGTACGTCAATAAAGCAATAAATGTGTACACATTTCACAACATGTAGAGTAATTGTTAAAGCCACCCATGAAGGGTCTGTGCCCAATAAAAAGACCTTAGAGTGTACACATTAGATAGTGTAGAGAACCGCATAGTGTCTAGACGCGTACACATTAGATAGTGTAGAGAACCACATAGTGTGTTTGGTAGAATGATTGTACATACTAACTTCGACATGGAGAAAAACCCACATGAATCGGTGTATAGACTTATGTCATGTGTGTACACCACTGTTGTTGTATCCACAAGGACACATACGAAATAGATCGGTGTGCGGAGAAGAGTGTAGTAGTTGATGAGTGGTATTGTACGTGGATAAGTGGTGTACTTGAATAAAACAATAAATGTGTACACATTGCACAACATGTAGAGTAATTTTAAAGCCACC